GATTAATTAATCCCATTAATTGTTTCACCTCTAATCTGAATCCAACAGAACATCTGGCCTCGAGCACAGAGTTTAGAAACCAGAGAAGAACATTTTATATTTTATGGTCTGTCCTCCATGCAGCTCGGCTAAAATAATCCAGACCATCCATTCATGGTTCTGCTGTGGATTGATCTCACCAGTGAATTTTTATGAATTTTGAAGTTTGTTATGTTTATTTCTATAAAGGTTCACAGTTGTGTGAGTATTTTGCTCTAATCCTTTACTGCTGCAACACCACAGTTTCACCATGTGGGACAATAGAGGGATTTTCTATTTAATTCTATTCTATGTCCTATTCCAGTGAGGTTCTCCTTAAGAATGAACAGTGGCGACCTCTGGTGGACATATATAAAATTACAGCACTGAAAGAAATTCCTCCTGACGTCATCAGTTAATTGGATGGAACAAATGGTTGATTATTATTTGTTTACATCCCTGTTTTGGGTGTTCTGTTCTGCTAACAGGATGTTCCACTTTACCGTTCGCCGTTTTAGCTTTTTATTGGTTTTATTTGCAATGATAGTTGAAGTTTCTTTAGGAAAGAATAAAATATAAATAGATTAAAATAACTTTAAAACCTAAAAAATAAAAATAAATCAGTTCAGTTTTTACTACAAAAATCTTAAAAAATTTAAAACCCAAAATATTTTAGTAGCAGACAGGAGATGACGAAGTCTTAAGAAGTTGTCAAACAGCTGGAAATATGGACTAAATTGGAGTTTTAGTGTTTTTGTGTATTTTAATAAGGTGTGCGTGCGTCACTCACGCATAATGCAATGAATGTTCAAAGTCGCTCCTCTTCTCGTTGTCAAAGCGAACATCTTGGGGTAAATCTGCTTCTGTTTTGGCATCAACACATCTGGGGATCCCAGGAGCCCACGTCACCCATCTGACCAACAGAGACACGCCTTTAATCTCAGGAATTTCTGCATGAATAATTCTGCAGGAAGCTTTATTTTTCTGTGAGACCTGAATGTGTTTTGTCTCTCCTGCAGCTCGTTCCTCCTGTGTTGCAGCAGCCGTGCTGAGGAGTCCTCCACCAGAGTCTTTGCTGCAGAAGCAGAGGGTTAAAACAGAGCTTCACTCACAGAAACATGAAGCAGGGGGATTGATCTTTTTCCTTTTTGCTCTTCACACCAAAAGGTGAACATGTGAACTCAAAATGGAGGCTGAAGCTTTAGAAATGTTGCCTCAGAGCCAGTTTCCCCTGGAGTGAGTCCATCAGCGGCTGAGCCAGCCCCACCTACCTGCTCCTTCTCTTATTTCCACCTTGGCGTTTCCGATCAGCCAGCGGTAACACGGGAACGTCAGAAGTTTGTTTCCCCCTGGAGGCTCCACCGTCACATACCGGCAGAACCAGTTGTCCTCCACAAAGTACTTCTCTTTCTCCAGCCGGACCAGTAAGAGACGCCCTAATGGTGCTTTGCTGGTCACCCTGTACTGATCCACCTGATGAAGAGTTGGAAAGCAGAGAAAATCATCACAGAAGCTGTTTGGTTCATAATGAGGCTTCATTAAGCTGTAAAACTCTGGGAAGAAGTGATGCTGCGCATTGGGCTGTCAGGCCCTTTAAGGCCGTCACCGTTAGCCTATAATTAATCAGAAACTCTGACCTACATTTATAACCTAAACTTTAATTTATTTTTATCCAACTCTATTAATTTATTCCAAACAATCAATTATCTTAATTTTGTAGAGTTTCTCTTGGCTGCGCTGCTTCTATTCCATTTACCTGGTTGCTCTATGTTTTGTCCAATCAGATTTCAGCCTCTGTTCGTTGCTATGTCAATCAAATCTGTCCA